AAGAAGGAAAAACGACGGTAACACGATTGAAAAAACCAATATGCTGGAATGGAAAGTAGCCATAATACAAATATTTGTGTATACAAATATGAAACAACGAAAGGCAAACATAAAGCACTCATCATATTTTAAATAGATTTGTAAACGATGAACTTGCGTTCATTTCAATACCGCACAAGAAGTTTGAATTCGTGTGTAGTTTTTTTTCTTTCTTCATCTTCTTTCGTGTGTTGTTTCATCGTTGTCCATCGATTTCGCTGCTGCTCTGCACGGATTGAAGAATTTTTATGCCATATTTGTATTGATATGAAATGAGATCATGTGGTTTTCGGCCGCCGCTGTTTATAACTTTATTGATCACATTCCACAGAAAGACGGTTGCACACACACACACACTGCACGGACTGGACCTGAACATCTCACAAACCGATAGAGACAGAACAAAAGCGTACACACAAAACTCGATCGCGCACGAATGAATATACATATATAATACACATGATAATATATTGAGAACAAAGAAAATTGACAGAGCGCACCACATTCTTATTTACATATATTGGCTACTTGAGTGTGCTTAGCTTATTATTATATTTTCAACACGAGTGAAATAAATGGAAAGAAGGGAAAAAAAACAACGAATTGAAAACGCATTGAAAATTGAGCGATTGAAAGCATTCGCTTTGTGTATATGCTCGCAAGGAGAAGGAGAGTGAAAAAGCACGATACAGAAACAATAAAAAAAAACACACACACACAACAAATATGGTATTTACACATTTGATTTATGGAATATTTATCTCGTTCAAATAGAAATCGTCGAGGTGCTTGGTTTTATATCCTGCACGATTCGGCCGATGTTTTTTTTCATATACGTATATTATCAAATCAGTGGTGATGGTGGACGATTGAAATCAAAAATTAAATTGTCATCAGCCAGTTGGTGGTATTCGAATTATGAGATTTTAACCATGCACCATAAAGTATACTGGATCTGATACACTCCGAAAAACACACACACACACAAAAACTTAATTGAACCATTTTGTTGAAAATGAAATATTTATTTGAAATGTTTATTACTACTGTGAGTCAAATGGAATGAGATTTTCGTAATGTAAGTTTTTTTTTTCTGTTTGAACATCGTGATTAGAAAATTACACTCATTGCCTATATATGTAATGCATTGATTTGGAGTGGCACGTTAATCACTTAATTAAACGAAAAGCATCTAATCAATTTCAAATATTTCAATTATTGTCACACCGTCGGACCGTCGTATGGGTGTTTGAGTGTGTGTGTGTGTCTATCTGTCGTATTTACACGTGAGAGTTTTGCAACAAAATCGTTTTCAATATTTTGAGATTTTTAAAGGTAGAAACCGATGCAGCAATTAAAAGCGAATGAAAAAAAAAATGTTGTAACTTCCATAATTGGAAAGACGTTAATTGAATAATTGCATGCGATCGCATCGCATTTTAATTATGTAATTTTTCCATTAAATGGCAATTAATTAGTTTGTCAGCGCTTGTCTTGATGCAAAGAGATCTAATTGATTTTGACGCTTCATAACTCAATCTCGAACTCTTCGCTATTTGACGTGTGTATCGAGCGGTGGCGAATTCAAATCAACTCGGTGCGATGATATTAAACGTTTCGTGCTGTTATTGCAAACAAATGCAATGAATGTTCTTATTTTCTGTTTTGCTTCTTAACAACGAATGACGTTGTTTTGGCATTTCGAGTCAGGGGGTTTCCTATCGTGCACTCTCATGGTTATACCATTGGGCTAAAGTGGAACATTTCATCGTTCGAAAAAAAATATTCTATCAATTCAAACGAAAATGCACGCGTTACCTTGTACGCATTTATTTGTATGGTGATATTTTGATCGGAATTTTCGTGTTTATTCTATTCATTCTAGTGTGACACATTCATATTTTTGATCCCACTCTCGCCGATCGTGCGTCACAATATTCTGTTGCAATGCAGATAAACAATAATGCGAATATCAACACATCAACATCAACAACAAGTAAATGTGGTCGATTCCATGAATTGGGCTCGGTACATCGTTTTCATGACATTCAATCGCTCTTTTCAAACGAACAAGGGGCATCAAAGCGTTTCACTGTGCTAGGCATCCAATATTCGCGTATAAATTTGTTGTTAGGTGAAATATATTGATCTTTTTTAAAATAAATACACAACCTGATTAAAAGCGTGTCTTCTGGTCCATTCGATCTCATTTCGTATACAATTGAGAATGACTTGATTTACGAGAACCAAAAAAAAAAATCTAAACAGTTCAGAGAATCAATATAAAGTCGCTCCAATGGGTGAGCGTCGAGTTGTTCAATTAAATTATCCTAAAACGGCTGGCTTGTGTGTTGTATGGAAGCGGTGTGTCGCCATGTAGTCTCATCATTATTTTGAATATTAAAATAACGCGAAGCGGCAACGTAACCGGTGTCAGAGCAAAAGAGGCTGACAAAATGAGAAAGGCCAACAAGAGGTTTGTGAACGAAGGAAACAAAGGTGAAAAAAAGACGACGACGACGACGACGACGACAATCCCCAAAAAATATGAATAAATTATAATAACAATTTTGGAGTTTCTTCTCTTTTCTTTCATTCGATCGACCGATAAAGATAAATCACACGCAAAAAACTAACCAATTTGCACAGTTTTGGGCCATTTAATATCAATTCGATGGCACATATATCTTGGCCTTTTATCGTCTGTTGTTTGACATAATATCGTCCGACACAATCACTTGTTTACTTCAATAAAATATTATTTCTCTTTTTAGCATTTTAACAAATACATAAATAACATGGCTCGTTTTGCTCGTTGTGATTTTTTTTTTGCTGCTGCTGCTGCGTTCGCTCAGCTCAATACAAAACGTGCGATCGGTGATCAAACCGAAACAGGCGAGTATATTTCCTCGTGTGTTTTGATTACATCAACTCTCTGTGTATTTGACTTAATACCGATAACGCAAATGAAATATCGTAAGCCATAATCGTAAATTCCATGCGAAATCATAGACAGAATATTCCCTCATTTGTTGGTGTTGCGTTGTTAGCGCTGTTGTTGTTGGAGGGAGTGGAACCTGAATCCAAGAACTACCATCCATTCGTAAAACGTTGCAATTTATATTTAAATGATTTCGCACGCGGCATATTATTATATTTGTTATATGTAAATATTTTTCAGATGACTCAATCCTAGTGTTGTTCTGTTTCACGTTCCAAAGTGTTATCACCCAACGAACGTGTTGGAGTTTTGATTTTATTTTTTTCATTCGAAAAATATTGTTCACAGAAAATATGAATGCAGCCAAAAAAAAATTTTAAATTGATTTGGCGTATAATATATTTATAGCAAATAAAGTCGATTGGATTTATCAATATTTGTGTACAGCATGTGCTCACGGCTTCATTCGATATACGATTGAAATGGTTACGAATTTTTTTTTTGTTGAATAAACTCTAATTTTTTATTCTGTTTATGGTCAACAGCGTTTGTAGAATTTTTGACAGTAACGTATGTTTTAAAACGAATTTATATACAAATTTCTATTAAATACATCCATTGAACACTATTAAAATATTTCTTTTGCTAAAATAAACATTTTTCCATAGAAATAATGACACTCTTTATCTTGATGGACAAAAAACGCATTTTGTTCGATATCAAATTCTATTTTTATCACTCGAGATGCAGATACGCCTTTAGATGTAATATATTTCACATTCAATTTGTTGTTTACAAATGTCTGAATCACTTGAATGTAATTTTCCAAGTAACCTTAAAAGTTCCTTGAAATGTGGATGTGTGTTTTTTTTTCTCGGTTTAAACGTAAGAGGGAAGCTCGAACTGGGCTCTTGTTTTGAAAAAAATGATCTCATCGATGGTCCCATTGACGATGGTTCAAAGTCAAGTTTTCAGAATGATCGTTTGACGTGCGCCTGGCAAAAATCACACACATTCAGTAATTACACAATATGAACAGCGGGTGATCCAAATATACTCTTCAGGTAAATCAACTAAAAACTGGTTTCTTAACTACCAGCCAAAAAGTGGTCTGAAATTTGAACCAAAATTAAATGAGTTATGCATATTGTATGAAGAATTTTCAATATCAACTTCATTTCACGTTCTTTTATCAAAGTAAAAAATTGAAATTCTTAAAGAATTCCATGATTATGATATCGTACTATTATAATTGTACTATGGTTCGACATATCTATTTAATGCCATAAATAAATGATTGGTTTCTTACTTATTTCCAACCCAAATATTTGCCAAATTAAAACCAAATCCAATATAAATCAATTTTAAATTTAAAACCCGAATTCAATTCACCAAATTTTGTACGAACACGAAGTACGTATAATCATTTATTAACATCGAATTCGTGTAAGTGTTTAAAATGTTCAATGAAGAGATTTAAAGCCATGCTAAAGTACAACAGAACTTTGTTAGGATTTCAGATTTGAGCGTGTCTCAGTTTAGAATGCTGTAGAATCAGAGATACAGACAATACAACTACTTCAGTATAGAGGGTGTTGTATAGTCAAAAGAACGAAGCATGTTGCTAGTCAATATACAAACCAGTTCAAGCATCAGGTGAACGATTTAATGTTTCAAATTTGCCTTGTTACCGAAAGAGAATTTTACCTATGCAGGCTTTCTGTCTACATAAATGCATTGACGACCAACAAAATGTAAACAAAAACATTAATGGTGTTTGATTTTTTTTATAATCGAAATATGTTCCTGAAATTAGATTGAAGAAAAGATCGGAAAATGCCGATTTCATCGACAACGTGTGTCACACGTCGTATGACTGGTTCATTTTGCGACCACAGATTGATATTACAATGAACCTTCGTCCATTATATTAGTTATCATACCTTTTGGTTTAACCTGTTCCAAAAAAAAAAGAATCAGTTTCAGTGGAAAATATTTGAAAATAAAGAAAACAATACGGTTTTTCTGTGATTTGGATATTAACTCCAAAAAAAATGTAAGGGGATATTATTTTATTTGATGTTATTCAAATGTTACAAAATCCATTGTAATTTATTTCTCTTCGTTCTTTGAGAAAACAAATGTGAGCGAGCATTTGCCGCAGTAGTGACGGTCTTCATGGGCAGCCATGAAAACACCAGCGCCGCAATTCTCTCCTGGGCACTCACGACGCAAGCGGTGAATTTTGCCGTTTTCATCGACCTGTGAATGGAAAAACCGAAAAAGAGGAAAAAAAAATTTAGTTTCATCGAAACAAAGGGACAAATATGCAATGAAAAATCGAATTTTTTGAAATTGAAATCAAATGTTAAAAATGTGGAAATAAAATTGAACGGGAAAAAAATTTATGAGATTCCATAGAACAATGCACTAACCTTGTAGTATTTCAAGACAGCGAGCTTGACCTTCTTTCTCTTGTGCTTGATCTTTTTTGGTGTTGAGTAATTCTTCTTCTTACGTTTCTTGGCACCACCACGAAGACGAAGCACCAAGTGAAGCGTTGATTCCTTCTGGATGTTGTAGTCGGACAATGTGCGTCCATCTTCCAATTGTTTGCCAGCAAAGATCAAACGTTGTTGATCTGGTGGGATTCCCTCCTTGTCTTGGATCTTTGATTTGACATTTTCGATAGTGTCCGACGGTTCGACTTCAAGAGTGATAGTCTTGCCCGTGAGGGTCTTAACGAAGATCTGCATGATTGACAACTATTCAATGTGTCTAGAAAAAAATTGAAGGAGAAATGTGAAAATACATGATTGCGTTGGGAAGGTTGTTCAGGGGGATGCAGATGATTTTTTTCCGTCATCCACATTTGAATAGTTTGTTGTTGTTGTTTTTGTTTGGTGGCAGTTGAAATTGGTGAAAAATGCATAAAAATTGAACAAATGTTCGAGAGTGCAACGATATAAGTGAAAATAGCTTGGAAAAACCTGTCGATATTATATTATTTTGATTGAAACTGTTTTATTCATCTTATTGTACAAAGAGGTCGTGTGTATCTTAAAACTAGAAAAAATGTATCAACGAACGAAATTGATCTAAACTAAAAGAACGGCATTGATGCAACCATCATTTTCCGGATTGTTGGTCACTTGAGCGTATTTACCCCAAACGACTTTGCCCGTTTGTGTGACCAAACCGAGTTCGGAGATGTTAACCTCAATGACTGTTCCCTTTGTAATGACACCCAAACTGGTGAACATCGGTGAGCTTGGATTCTTTTTCACACCAATGATTGGCAGGTGGAATGTGGCTTTCAATTCGGGGTGTGTAACATGTGCTTTTTTGAATCGTAGACCCATTGGCCGAATGAAACGTTCAAATTTCGGTGGTTTACGTGTGAAATTGTCGCCGACAAAGGTGACTTTGGTAACCATACGTTTCCATGCCTTTCGTTTGGTTTTACCCGATTTCAAGACACGGAACACCTCGGCATCGGATTGGGCACGAACTTTTGGAATTGGAACATCCCATTTGCCGGCCTTTTCTTTTCGCTTCTGTTTGATCATATTTGACAAAATTTTGGCATTCGATTGAACACCACGGTCCAGCAAATATGTTGGGATAGCACCATCTTCAACCTTTTCTTCTTGTTTCTTGACCTTTTTCTCTTCGTGCGCATGAATTTTCTTTTTCATTTGAATCTTCTCATTGCGACGCTCCTTGTTAAACAGTTTCGCTTTGATGCCGCGCAGTTTTTGCGCTTTCTTTGCACGTTCACGTGGTGCACGAGCTTCACGTTTGCGTTTACGCTCTTCGTAGTCCAATCGTCGACCGTATAATTTACGGTGACGGTCCATATACTCGTTTTGCGGCATTTTGTGTCGTGTTTTCCGTTCGGCCGATTAGATGAACAATTGTCTAATTGCGAGTAAGAGAAAGAGAGAGAGAGAGAGAGGAAGAGAGATAAGAAAAGAAATGACTTTAGTACAATTTCAAATAATGCCATTCACTTCGGGATTGTATTTTCGGTAAATTTCCAAACTAATTTCCAATAAAATAAACTAATCGAAATACACACATTTACGATTTGATTCACCACGATGTGGGAAATCCGTCTGTGATAATGACATCATTCTTTGTCTAACCATCCACATTTTCTTTTATTATCAAAATGTTTCACATGGTCTTGTACTAAATGCCATTCCATCACTTATCACCCTCACAAAAGCACATGGAAAAACAACATTTCTCTTTGTTAACCCGTTTAAATGCACAAGCTATATTGTTCATCTAATTGCTGTACACAGAAAAAACACGAACAAAAATGCTAGAAGAAAAAGGTCATGGTAAAAGAACGAAGCGACATACACAGATTTCCCACATTCGTCGGATGAATCAAATTGTGAAATTCGAATTTTGAGGTTATGAACAAAACTTTTACATGAAGACTATTTGCAATGAGAAAAAATTAAAGCAACTGAAGTTGAAATGTTTTAGAAAAATAATTCTCAATTATCGCTTTTGTGAATTGCAATGAAGACCGATGATGAAAACAAATTTCTAAATTCCCAAATTAAAATCACAATTTGAATACTTTGAATTTTCACACAAGTGGAACCATGCGGTTTACATTCCATATACACTTTATATGGAACTCATTTCAATGTACGGAAAATTGACGAAAAAAGTCACAAAAATACTAATTTTTTTTATGGTTTTTATCAATATTTTACAAATGGTTGCACTCGTTTTTACTTTTGTTCAATTTTTATGCAGAAAATCTTGATTTTTTTCAAGTTTTTTTGTCGAAAATTTGCAGATAGTTAAAAACACTCACCTATACGGTCCGATTATCACGACTAAAAAGAACAAGGCACAAGCCGGAACCAGACATATTGCTTACATATGACACTTTACGACGCATGATGTGTGGAGAACACTTGAGACGAATTGACAAGTAGAGACTGCGTTCAGATGTAGGAACTACGTCTAGCTACCCGTTTTATTGAAGAAGGCACGAAAAAAAGGCGAAAAAATGCAAATATAATCATATTCATTTTCTAATTTAAAAAAAATCATTATTTTGCTTTTAAAATAGAAGATTTGTGATGAAATCAATTTATATCGTACATCGCAATAACACTCATACCAACGATTTGTCACAATCTCCATAAAACTCTCCACCTCGCTAGTTCACATTCTTCGCTCTATCCACATTTGTTCTGTAGTGACATTTCGCTCTGCAAACCAATACAAAATTGAAATATTGTTTGCTAAATAAAAACAAAAGTACGAGGAAAACATGCCTTTGACGGCCGAAGTTGCAGCTATTCAAGTTCAGGTATTTTGAAATAGTATTTTTGATCATTGCATCCATTGAAATGTATTATATACAATCAATTTTCATTGAAATGATTTAAATTTTTCAACAGGAGCGCTTGACATCGATTCAGGGTCTAATACATGCCATTGATAATGAGCGGCGTCGAAATGAAAACAATCTGAATAATTTAACGCGATTGCAAGAAAAATACGGTCCAGATGAAAAGTCAAATTCAGCGCAGCATAAACTTCGAAGCCAGTACAAAACGTGTATGAACGATGCAATACAGGAGGAAAGTTTGATTCGAGATGCTCTGGCCAAAATACAAGAAATTCGAAATATCCGCAACGAACGTCGAATTCAGGTAAAATCAATTTAATATCTATTCTAAATGAAATAACAAAAATGAACTTTTTAAAACCGAATCAATTTCTTTCGATAAAACAGGCACGAAATGCTGGCAATAAAGAAACGATACGTCGTGGCGCACTGATGAAAATGCTGCAAATATCGGCACAAACATTGCCACTGTTTGTAAGCAAACCAGATGAAAAGACGCCTCCATTGGTCGGGGCCATTCCAGCCGATAGCTCATACATTGCAAAGCCTGGAGATATTGTTGCTGCACTGGTAAAGGGATTGGAAGATGAAGACAGTTGGATTCTAGCAGAAATTGTATCGTTCAATGCAAGCCAAAACAAGTATGAGGTGGATGACATCGATGAAACAAAAGACAGACACGTTCTAAGCAAACGCAGAATTGTACCGTTGCCATTGATGCGAGCCAATCCAGAAACGGACGCACATGCACTATTTCCAAAGGGGACAATGGGTAAGACAACAGAGTTTTTTTGTTTGTCATTATTATACAAAAGAAGAACAAGTGATCTATTGCTTTATTCATTTTAGTGATGGCACTTTATCCGCAAACAACGTGCTTCTACAAAGCAATTATCAATAACTTACCCGAAACAGCAACCGCCGACTATGAGCTACTTTTTGAAGACGCAAGCTATCCGGAAGGCTATTCGCCTCCACTGTTGGTCGCTCAACGCTATGTTATCGCATTCAAGCATACGAAGAAAAGTGGAAATGTATCAAGTTGACCAGATACAAGTGATACCAGTATCGATCCGGATGATGCTCGTTAGCATACTTTTTTGTTTGGCATCCAATACTTAAACACGGACTTGATACCTATTCAACCGGAATATTTCATATTTCATTCGAAATCGTATTCGCCATTAAAATAATATTAGAATAGGCTTTAAATTTTAATCAGACAGAGTCGAAGAGAAAATGTAGACACAGAGTGAGAGTTGAAAGTTGAAACATTAAAGAAATTAAAGACGATCAATTTAACAATGAATGCAACGATGCGTTATTTTTCTGTTTTCTTTTATTTTAACTTATATCTCTGATGCACATTCCATTTAGAATTAATTAATCTCTAAGTTTGAGTTCTAGTGTTGCGTGGTATCGAGTGATGTCCATCCATGGTTTGGTTCGGTTCGGCTTGAATCGGTATACGTAAACGTAACTAATTAAACTTATTGAACTTATTGAAAGCAGCAGAGGTGTCCACTTGTGCGCTTGAACATCGTTAAACAATATTTTATAAAATATTACAACTTCGAGAGAAACATAAAATGAATAAAACACACAGTAAATTATCATTTACATATTGTTCTTTTTATTATCATCGCTATTTTATATTCCTTATCTCTGATTTTTCTTCTTCTTCTTCATATTCTTCTCGTGTTCATTTTTTTTTTCTTTTTATGCATTGGTGCTCTTGAACTATTTCTTCGATATATTTTTATTGACTCTTATTCGATAAACATTTTTTATACTGATTTTTTTCTGTTGTTTTGAGTTTTTTTTTTCCATTTTATTTTTATTTGATTTTTTTCTCATTAAATTTATTTGTTTTTTTTTTTTCTTTTTTTCCATTATTTTTTGTTATTTTTGTGCTCATGTTTTTTTTTCATCATCATCATCATCATTAAGTAGGAAAGCGAGGTGTAAAAATGTTTCTTCAAAAAACATTATTTCTCGATAAAAACTCGTAATATATTTAAATATATATATTTAGATTTTCGTTCGAAAATATTCAGTTTACGCGATGTAATGTGGCCTCTGGTCATATGTTTTCAATTTTTTCTGGCTCTTTTGCTGGACTATTTTTTTTGGTATCCTTTTTTCATGTGATTTTCCGTATTTCATAATGTTTCTTTTCATTTTTTTTCCCGTAATTCATTTTTTTTGCGTTCATTCAATAGCAGACAAGTATAATGTTTTTTGAAATATTTTTTTTTTCTAAATTATCTGCAAAAAAGATTCGGTTTTTGATTGAAAATGAAAGTTATTGTGTGTGTGAAAAATTATTATTGAATTAAAACAAATAATTTGTGACTAAACAATCGAAAAAATGAAGAGAGTTTTGGAAACGGGGCGAATAAAAGCAATGAAAAAATGGGATGGAGAATGTTTCGGAGTGAGAGAAGAGAAATTGGGGGCAATAATTGCAAATAAAATGAGGAATAAATTATTGAGAAAAAAAAGGGATAATACAAATAGAAACTGTTATCACAGATATAATTCAATTTGATTAGGAAGCGTATCAGTGTGATACGATTTGCGCACGAAAATAAAAACTACTGAGAGAATTGCGGAAAAATTTGCCTGTTTCGAATGGATGAAAGGTTGCGAATAGACAAAAAAAAAGAATCAAAATCTTACCCATTTGTTTGTCCACAACGGCCGGCCGATCTGATCAGCATCTCATCAACGTAAAACGTTTAGTATGGCGAATAATAATTTCCACGTCCTCTGTAACCGCGTCTAAATGCAATAAATGCACGACAAATTATAGAACCAGTTTCGTATGTCTGAGTTGAATGGATTTCGATATATATATACTTACATTGGTCGTCGTGTGCCTCTGAATGAACCGTGACAGCAACCGGCTGCACCACGAGCAACACCGCGTCCACGACCACGAAAACCGCGTGGAATACGATTAGTCGTTGAAATACCAGGCCGATTTGTTCGCTTAGCCATTACTTTGATTTGACGACCACGGAACAATGTATCGTTCATTGCTAAGGCGGTATCAACGAAATCTTTCGAACCGAATTCGATGTAGGCAAATCCTTTCGGATGACCATCAGCTTTATTGCATAAAATCGTAACACGATTCATGCTGCCACATCCATGGAAATGAGCTTCTAACTCTTCAGCCGTTGCACCATAATCAACATTCCCTACATAAATCGATCGTTCATCAATCTCTTTCTTCTCTTCCAGTGATAATGGAATGGTTGAAATGCCCGTTGGCGAGCTAAGCGTCATTTGTTTATTCACTTCGGACTGCATTTGCTTCAGTTTTTCGGCTTCTTCTTCCATTTCTTTGACGCGAGCTTTTATCGCTTCCAATTCTGGGTCGATAATTTGATGAATCGATTCATCCTGTGGAAAAAAGAACAAAATTTATTTTTCTTAATTTTTTTCATCTCTGTTTTTTTTTTTCAGGCGTCTTCACGCATATTTAATGATGCCGAATATAAGAGGAAAAAGAAAATTTGCCGCGCGGCATTTATAATTGTCTCAGTAAGCTTGTATTGGTGGTCGCCATTTTGTTTTCAGCTATATCTCTTTATATCACTTGAACTCTTTTGTATACACAGAACAGCGCATTAGTCATAAAACTTGACACCAATTCATGAAAAATCGAGCTAAGGCGTTTTTTATGCTTTTGTAGGCACTTTTTATTTGCTGAATTTAGTTTACCTCATTTAAAAATTCCGAATCTCCATTGTTTCCATCGTCTAAATTTTCGAGAAGTTGGTCCTCAGTTAATGAAATATCTTCGTCGGCCATTCTGGTATTTGTGTTTTTTTTTTTTCTGCTTTCTTCTACGATACTTGTTTACGAATTATTTTCAATGCACTGAATTTGCGCCTAGTTATTTTTTTTAAATCTAAGTATAAATAACTGAATCTATATCACCAAGAAAATACAAACGAAATTGTATTCAAAAAAATACCGATTGTCACATAAACGGAGAAAACAAAATATATCCGGATCGCTTTTTTTTGTGTGTGTGACTTGAAAAATGAAAAAAAATTCACTACGCTATTCCACGCGGTAAAATACTACGAGAGCAGTTGAAGTGAAGCTTCAACTCGAAATGACACCTTGATGCTAAGAATTTCGATTTAGTGCCGTCGTCACCTATGAAATTCTCCACATACACTCACACATACATACACACACACACACACAAAATACACCCAAGCAAAGTCGAAAGTCGTCAAACACAATACACATTCGACGTGTAGAATTCGTCACAACATTTTTCAATACAAAACAATGGCCACACCATCATTTGGGATGTCAGTGTCAGTTTCTAGAAAAAAAATTACTGAAGCTACCAATATTATTGAATAAAAATTTTTGAGCGAAGCAAGTTTATTTCTCGTTTGTGAATTATGGCTGGTGCTTTGGCACGCGTAAATTTCTTTCCGAAACATCAAATCGGTAAGAAATGGAAATTAATCAAAAATTTAATTACAATTCAGTGTAAAACGTGTTTTTTTCTCTCTATTTTACGTATTACGCGTTTTCATCAATTACATAATGAAACAACACTGTGCATCATTCTTTGTGTCATCTTTGATTGGTCATATTTTGAATTAATTTCGTCGCTATTTGCGAATTTGGCATGATAATAATTGCGTTGTTGAAAATTTATCTCCGATACAAATGGATTTTTCGTCAATATTTCAATGGAAATGTCAATAAAATCGCATTGTTTATCATGTTTTAGGAAATGTCGCCACTCCATTGTTTGGCAGTCAGATAACAAGAGCCAATTCGACTCCAGCTGGTACACCACCACCACAAACAAAGACCGTATTTGGCCCACTTGCCGATCAGGATCGAATTTTCACCAATCTTTATGGTCGTCATGATTGGCGTTTGAAGGGTGCATTGAAACGTGGTGATTGGTACAAAACGAAAGAAATTGTCACCAAAGGAGCTGATTGGATTATTAGTGAGTTTCATTGAAAAATGTTCTACGAACTTCAGTATTTTATAGTTGATTACTTTCATTGTAGATGAGGTTAAAGTGTCTGGTTTGCGTGGTCGTGGTGGTGCTGGTTTCCCTAGCGGTATGAAATGGTCGTTCATGAACAAGCCATCAGATGGTCGACCAAAGTATTTAGTAATTAACGCTGATGAAGGTGAACCAGGAACGTGCAAAGATCGTGAAATCATGCGTCACGATCCACACAAATTGGTTGAGGGTTGCTTGATTGCTGGCAGTGCAATGGGAGCCCGTGCTGCGTATATCTATATACGTGGTGAGTTCTACAATGAAGCCTCGAATATGCAAGTGGCTATCGCTGAAGCCTATCAGGCCGGATTGATTGGTAAAAATGCTTGCGGATCTGGTTACGATTTTGATGTGTTCATGCACCGTGGTGCCGGTGCCTATATTTGTGGAGAAGAAACGGCCCTTATCGAGTCGTTGGAAGGAAAACAGGGAAAACCACGTCTCAAGCCGCCATTCCCAGCTGATGTTGGTCTGTTTGGATGCCCGACAACTGTGACAAATGTCGAAACCGTTGCTGTGGCACCAGTGAGTTGAATTACTTCCACGTTTATGTGGAGTGTTAGTTGTATTGTTCGAAAATTATTACAATTTATTAAATTTTTCATTTATTTTTTATCGTTTTTTTAGACAATTTGTCGTCGTGGTGGCGCTTGGTTTGCTAGCTTTGGCCGTACACGTAATTCGGGTACTAAACTATTCAACATCTCTGGGCATGTGAATAAGCCATGCACTGTAGAAGAAGAAATGTCAATCCCATTGAAATTGCTGATTGAGAAACACGCTGGTGGCGTTACCGGTGGATGGGACAATTTATTGGGTGTAATTCCGGGCGGTTCATCTACTCCAATTATTCCGAGGAAAGTGTGCGATGACGTTATTATGGACTTTGATGGATTGATCGCTGCTCAAACCTCATTAGGCACAGCTGCAATCATTGTTATGGATAAATCGACTGATGTAATCCAGGCTATTACTAGATTGATTATGTTCTACAAACACGAGAGTTGCGGCCAATGCACACCATGCCGAGAGGGTATCGGCTGGATGAACAAAGTTATGCATCGTTTTGTTACGGGTAATGCTCAACCAGCTGAAATTGATATGCTGTGGGAAATTTCAAAACAAATCGAAGGACACACAATCTGCGCTTTGGCCGATGGTGCCGCATGGCCTGTTCAAGGTAAATAAAAACACAAATGATCCATGGATGGCGGAAGTCACCGACAAAATGACTAATTTGTTCTTTTTTTCTTTTCTCATTTCAGGTTTGATAAGACACTTTAGACCAGAAATCGAGAGCCGAATGAAGCAATACGAAGAGAAACGCATTCGTGCCAAGAACTAAAACTATCCCCGGACTAGATAAGATTTTTTCGGTTTTCATATTGCATATTCAATGTATATTTAAATTTTTGAGTTGTAATAAAAATGTCACCACTAGGCAATAAGCCACCAAAAATGTGCTAGTTTTCATAATTTTCCTATTTATTTCCGTAAATCATGTGTATTTTGATTGGTGATTTTTTTTAAATGAAATTCACGGACCATCGAAAAAAAAAATTAAACTTTTTTTTCCATTTTCGGCTGTATTGCGACCGTCTACATGGGAAGTTTGTATGAAATTCTCGGAGCGCCGCTGCTTTTGCATTGGCTTCTATGGCCAAATGTACACATTGAAATATCACGAAAACGGCTGGATAAATCGGCAAAACGGACCGTGATGTCACTCCCAAAGGGAGTGTAAACACCCAGCTGGTTTGATGGCCTAGAATATAAATCCGCTGGAATTTCAGCTGATCCATGGATTCTCAGGATGTGACCTGATTCCAGCACTTCAGTTTCTTTGCGTTGTGGTAACATAGGTAAAATGACTTCTGGAATCAGGTCAAATCCTGAGAATCCATGGATCAGCTGAAATTCCACCGGATTTGTATTTTGGGCCATCAAACCGGCTGGGTGTTTACACTCCCTTTGGGAGTGACATCCCGGTCCGTTTTGCCGATTTATCCAGCCGTTTTCGTGATATTTCAATGTGTACATTTGACCATAAAAGCCAATGCAAAAGCAGCGGCGCTCCGAGAATTTCATACACACTTCCCATGTAGACGGTCGCAATACAGCCGAAAATCGAAAAAAAAGTTTAATTTTTTTTTCGATTCTCATACAGTATTTTGTGTGCTCAATCCATTGATGTTATCGCCACATCGAAATTCGCACTCCTTATCAGTTTGTTATCAATAGGAAACATTTGGTTCCAGACTAATAACATCACCATCTCATTACTCAAATATATTTCATCTAATAACTATACTAATAAGATACCATGCATCTCATTACTCGTTCGACCAATAACATTCTAATAACTATACTCACTAGATATATTACTAGAGTAATATGATTGCATCTTATTACTACTTATTAGAAGTTACTAGTCATAAGTAGTAAGTATCTTATTAGTCCAAACTATAACATGGGACAGTGTACGGCAATTGTATGGTTCGAAAACTGCGCTTCAATGTGACGACCAATTATATTGTGCGTGTGTCAAATTCAAATTGAGAACTGTAGAACCTTAACAGCACATGTTTTCTGTGTGGTCATTTAAATACTCTAGTGCTATATAAGAAAAAAATAGTATGACATTTGGTTGATGCAAATCAAATCAAGTGGAATGCCAGTTTTGTTGTACAAATGACTGTCGATGAAAAACAAAACAAAACTAGAGCGATCCAATGTGGTTTCTTCTGTGCTAAGACAAAGACAAGTGTTTTCGAATATTTATTCTCAAAAGAATCATAGTAGGCAAAACAGATCAAATCACATTCAATTTTCACTATTCAATGTAAATTCGTTGTTTTAAACTCGCTAACAAAAATGTCGATTCCTGTGTCGGTTGAGGTAGCTGACGAGAATTTCCTTCGGCAACATTCAGATTTTTTGAAAACATTACCAAAATTGACACACTTCACACAACCCGAAATCGATGCGATTGCAATCATTTACTTTAAATTTTTGCGGGAATTCGGCGTCAAGAGAGAGCAAATGGATCGCAGTCAATTCCGTGCCTTTTTCCATTCGACCTTTCAGATCAGTGATGATTTCATCATCGACCGAGCATTTTTATTCTTGGACAAAGGTTTAACGCCGTTTGTTACCCTGGAAACATGGATCAAAACGCTCTCACTATTTCTGCGTGGAACGCTCGAAGAAAAAATGAAATACTGCTTCTTCGTCTATGATTTGGGTGGTAATGGAAGGTTGAAGCGTAATGACATCATTCGATTGCTTCGCAAGTGTTTTATTTACGAAAAGGATGAAGATGTGGAGCTCATGGTAAAGGAATTTGCTGATATTTTGGTGCGAAAACTCGATGTGGATGGCGATGGCGAGATATCCTATGAGGATTTTTCGGAATCGGTTAAAAAACAACGAGAATTACTGCAATGCTTTGGTCGATGTCTTCCAGATTTATTGAGCACCGTCGATTTTATGCAAACTTTTACCAGTGACCTACCGATTTAAAACTTTTGCTCATTCTATTATTTTGCCTGGGTCGTATCAGTGAATGAAGACCGAAATAAATGAATAATTGATAATAGTTCAAACTAAATTCGAATGTTTGTAATTGTAAAAAGGGTCTTTTGATGAATGCGAATGAGCGCTGCTTGTGTCATGAGAGTGGCAAAGATCAGTTCATTGGTTATTTATACCAGAAAACGCCGAAAAACTCGTGTATCTGTTGTTGTCTTCGCTAGCACGACAATACACAATCATTTCGGAGAATTTGTCTCCAAATAAACAAATGGAATGGACAAACAATACATTCGTTCGACTTGAAACAGTCACAAATTCAAAATGTCCCATTCCATAGCCAGCAGTTTTGAAACCTCCGCTAATTTGAACCGAGCGGTAGATGCTGTCGTTTGGAGAGAGTTAAAACGAGAACGCAAAATATGGCCAACGTAAAATGAAAAGGGACATTCACAAATCGATCTGGAGTTCGCTCATTGTGCGATAGAAAATGTTTTGTGTTTTTGTTTGTGTTGGTGTTTGTGTGTACTGAACACGAAACACCACCGACTGTGCTCAATCGACTCAAGCGTGTTTATACACAACCACTTATCGTTCTTTTCGATTCTAAGGCTGAACTCGAACGGACGTATTTCAAACACAAAACACAGCCAACTAGCAACACATTAGCCATTGTAATTTTGCATGCAAATCATCTTTGCTTGATTGTTTCATCGAAATACGAAAAGAAGTAAGTAGAATTATTGTTTGAAAATTTGATCATTTTCTTCGGATTTTTCGTGCAATTTTCGGTTTTGTTAGAAAAAAAAATCTGCGCATTATTTGCCATTTTTTGAAATTCGGAATAAAAAGTGTTTTTGGTGATGCGTGTCGTTTTCTCGACTTGTACTAGTAAGATTCGAGTGAGTGGCCACACACAGTGTATTCGAATCACTGACCGATTTGATGTTCTCCATTGAAAGTGTTGTTGCAATTCCTTTTCGTGGAAATTTGATAGCGTCTGCTTCATTTTCCGAGAATTCAATTGGGTCTGTTAATTTTCGTGCATCAAATTCAGAATGTGAATGTAACAAGTTGAGATTGTGCGATTTTTTTTCGAAATATTTCCAACATTTTTAGTGAAACGACAACATCCAAAATTCAACTAGTTCGATTTTTGTTTGATTCGTATGTTTTTTTTTTCACCGCCAGCAAATTGAAAATGCCACGTGCACGCAAATCCATTGTTGCATTATCGGCTGCTGATAGCCACTCAGAAGATGAGCAAGAGCCGGAAGCATTCGCAGAAGATTCAGGCGAAGACTGGAAGCCAGAAGAAAAGGTTTGTACAAAATCGTTGGTTAGCTTGTTGTTTGATATCATTTCCAAAATCCAATTTTTTTTGTTCGATCAGAAGGGCAAAGCGGGCAAAGGTAAACGCCGTCAGCAATCAGCACCAGTCACGCCAAAAGGCCGCGGCGGAAAGAAATCGAAGAAAATCGAATCGGAGGAATCCGATGACGAAGGTATGTGTGTTTGTTTGCAATAATTTTTGACTTTTTTTTTCATCAGACATTGGAAAACATTGAAACTTTGGTTTTTATTTGGATTTTTTTTTTCAGTTGACGACGAAGTGGAATCGGATGACGATGTCAATGAAGAAAATGTTAAAAAGACTGACAAAAAGTCCAAAGTTACGGTGAGAATTTTTTGTTGATTCAAATTGTTTCATCGATTTTTTTTCTCGACCAAACCAGATTTTTGTACTCATTTTTTTCATGCTTGTTTCCAGGTTGGTCGCAATCAACCAGACAAGAACGGGGTATTCGAACTGAATATGTTCAAAAATGATTTGACAAAGGAATTTCGCAACGATGAAAAGTTGTGCATGTGGCGGCGTGATGGAGCTAGTCTGCTCCAAAAGTATATGGTTGTCATCGACGAATCCAGCAACGGGAATATCATATTCAAAGCGTCATCGGTTTATTCGTGCTGGGAAGAAAAACGCCGGCATGACTTCTTCCAGATCGAAGTCAAAGTGGTTGGCGATAAGAAGGAAAGTAAAGTGAAAGTGCTGGACGTGGCAGAATTCGAAAGATTGGCTCTCGAAGATCGTCCAAAGGTATGTTATTTAATGTGTCACATCGATGGTTTTCTTTCGCAAAACAGTCTTTTGAACATTTTTCAACAATTTTTTTTTTGTTCTTCTTCTTTTTCTCAGATCGACATCACCCCGCGCGGTGCAATTGGTGGCGAGAACTACGAAGAAAACTCGGAAGATGACTACGAAGAAAATGACGACGAGGATGATTAAATCAAAATTGAATTCGGAGCTAACTCCGAAGTGGCATCGACCACATACATAATCAGAATTTAATTGAATGAAAAAATATTACAATTATAATTAAAGTTTAATAAACGCAATGCGTATCACAAAATTGTACCACATGCCAAACATGTTCTACTTGACCTTTTTCACAGAATGATTTTTCTTATCTCTCTCTGTCACACACACGCCACGGAAAGTTCTGATGAAACTAGAAGTCAAACAAAAGGTAAAATTCCTTCATTTTTCCAAGCAGACAGATCATTTTGAACAGTGTTCAGGCACAAAGTCAATATTGCAATTAGTAAGTCGAAGTCAGCCAAAAAATATTGAAACCAATTCTGAACTGTTAGATTCAGTTCCCACAACTTTGAGTAAGAATTCACATTTAAAATAGATTATTTTCGAAAAAATTCTGGTTTCAAAAAGAACGGCTGAAACAATTGAGAAATTGTATTTGCTTGCGTCGATGACGGCAATTACACCAATGAAGGGATTGTAATAGTAAGTGAGAAAGCGAGAGAGATGAAGTTTGACAGCTTAATAGTTGAGTGAAGATCTCATTTGTGTATGTTTTTTTCATTGGAATTATAAACATCTATTTGTTTAGATTTCGTTAAAATGATCGCTTCCCATGCATCTTTGATTTGCCAAGAATAATCTCTTGTTTGGCTTTAGCGAGGCAAAAACATTGATGTTTATTTTCGACAGAAACTCGTCAATCGTTTTATCTCAAACTCTTCTTTCACTTAGAATGAATGTTGGTTCTTTCAGCAAATGAACTCATGCATTGGAATGGTAAGTGACACACACCAGAATATGTTTGTTTCTGCGTTGACTTACATAAATATTTCTTTATGACCATCGACTAAATAGTCGATTTATGTTTGACACCCACAGCGTTATCGTTTCACAAACATCGTTTCTTGAAACTGTTGCGATTTATTCGCTCTGACGTTTTGTATATCCAATGAAGCGTTGTTCTGCACAACAAAACAAATTGACATTTAAGATGAACTCAACAAATTTCATGTTCATATTGTTGATAAATCACAATCAGTTCGATAAAAAAAACAGTATCATTGATTGTTTTCCATTTGAATCATTCTTACTAGAGCTAGACGAGCTAGACCAATGAAAAAAAATTATATATTGATAGAATATTTTGAGTTGCGATGTTCAGCAAAGTTGTTTGTCTGAACAGTGAACAGTGAGATCTATCACTTTGTCAAATCAGGAAATCCGAATTTTATGAAAGTAATTCTCGCCATGAACCTTTCACTCAGCTTGAGTTATAAGCCATGGAATAACACTCTGGTATTTGAAGAATAACCAAGTTCTATTTTTTATTTTCATACATTCACAACAGTGTTACTGCTGTTTTTGTTTTTACATTGTTGTCCAACACAGTAGAATACACTCAATAACATTTTATTAATGTTTGTTGTTTCTCGGTTCTTTTGGATTTCTTTTCCGTAGGAAACAATAAATAATAAAAAGTTAAAAAGAGAAGAGTAAAGAAGAGTCTAGAATGAGAGTATGACATTAGCGAACCATTTCCAAAAGTAGAATATGAATATATTGAATAAGTTTATTGAAAAGTGGAACTTAAATCCGACGCAGGCTGCGACTCACAGCAAAAAATCAAAGTTGATTGGTAATAGGATTCATATTTGCGTACTAAACGTTAGATAGTTTGCTTTTAAAGTGTCTTTTTGCGTTCAATCAATTCAAGGCCCGCTTTTGCAAACCGAGTCACTCTCTTCTTATTAGTTTTTGGATTAATGGATAGTACGGGGAGTTTGGGAAAACTCGTCGCTCAGGCTGTTATCAGTCTATTGCGAGACGCTTTACGAGATTACTTAAGATTGATCATTTCAGCTATAGTGTATCGTTCCAAAAATTAGGTTTTCTTCAACTTTTATGGATCAAAAACATTACTACGTTTCCATTGGAATGAGAGGAAGCATGTGAATACATTCCCAATAAACAGTCATACATTCGTGGAATCGCCAAAAATATGTAAAAAAAAATGTAATTTCAATATTCATCATGTGAAAATGTAAAATTTCAGAATGAATTCTTCTGCAAAACTTGACATTGAATTTTACGCGTCAAGCAAAATAATCAATGAGTCAATGCCATTGAGTTAGCATTAATCATAGCCTATTAAGGTGATCTTTTGATTATCGCTATGCATGATCAGTCATCCTAGGTATGGGTGTGAACACATTCACGTTGAGGAAGTAATGCAATGCAGCTTTCGATTTTTGTGTTCTCTTTTACCTTTTAATTTCTGATCATGTTCATTCGTTTGCATTCCATTCCATTCGTTTTCTTATAATTCTTGAAATTTCCATGACATCATGCTGCCATACAGTGTGCCACTTAAGAACGAAGGAGAGAACAGAGCTAAGGCGTGATAACGTTTTAGGCCAGTACAAAGGAAGTGGTATTTTCGGTTTGATGTGGCGGTGTCTATGAAAATAATTTCCTGAGCACACTGTATGCTGTGCATGTTGCAACAAAACCAAACCAAACCGAACGTTCTAGTGTGCTGACTTTTGATACCCTATCAATGATTCAGAATGTGTCAGAACACCGTTGGTCCGTAGAGAAATGCGAGTCAACGGTCAGGCTAAATCATGTTTTTTCTTGCCAGTTTGACCGTTGATACTTTTTGTTAACATATAAATATCGATCTCGATCATCGCTCAAATCATGCTGAAAAAACAACAACAAACAAAAATAAACGAAACAAACCATTTCTGTAAACATATTGTATTTTTTTTTTATTCATTTTGTCCGACTTGTGTCGTGTAATTTTCTTTTTGATTTTTGTCATATTTTGTCACAATAATTTACTCTTTCATTACATACAAGAAAAAATTACACATGTAATAAAAAATGAATATTTAAATTCCATTTATATAAATTACCACTACATTAATCGTATTAGCGTCAAAATTAAGCAAAAAGAAATTGGTTTTCTGAAGAGTTTTTGTAATTTTCTCTAATTTGTTGTATGCAATTTGATTTTTTGTGGTCTTAAGTCATATGTGTTTTGTTTACGAAGGGGGGGAGACAAATCGAAAAAAAATATATATAAAAAGCATTATTATCAATTGTAGAAATAAAAATAATCTATTAGGAAAAAAAAATAAAATCTTTTTACATAAAAATATGAATCCAGTGTGCAAACTGTTTGATTAAACATTTTCAAGTACAGTTAAAGGATAATCTTTATTTTTTTCTGATCAAAATATCGAATAATCACGCGGTGGCCTATTTAGCCAACACATACGACAATAAATTCTGTGTGATTTGACCATTTGTGTTATTTTTTTTACATGTATATATTTTGTGTATTGAATCGGTATAAACATAGAAAACACTTTGAAGTTAATTCCATATATATAAAAGGAAATTGGTCAATATATTCAGCGTACAGCGAAATGAATCGTCTGCTCTTACAATTTGCGACTGTATGTCTATCGATTGTACTTTTTGTTTGAACAAAATATCAATTAAATACAATAGCAAATGTGTGACAATTCTTGCCTTCCATCTGTGTTTCTAATTCAATTCATAATATGCAATATATGAAACCTGTTCAGTCTAACTTTGATGATAATTTTTCAAATATTTTGCAAAAATATACAAATCATTTTGTGTTTTTTTTCTTCATCTTCTTCAAATAAATGTTATGTGCAATTCATTGAAAACTAAACAGCTTAATACAAGTTCCATTTCGTATGGAATTTTTTGATAGCTATTTCGAAAAAAAGGAAAATATTACGAAGAATATCAATATCGTATAATTTAAATAAAGATTCCGATATTTGTTTTTTGTTTTTTTTTTTTGAGATCACAATTCAATTTTCTGTTTGTTTGTGTTCTCAAATCACTTTTAGCTTGACCCAAAAAAAAGTTAAAGAGGCGTTCTGATTAGGAACAAAGCAAATAAATACATCAGTTTGGATAAAGAAAAAAGCCAAGATATAAGGACAATTGGATTCGATGGTAACGGATTTTCGTTTTGTTTTTTTTCTTTCGCGAGTGTGGTGATATAGTATACATAGGTATTGATTGGCTGCAATAAACGGCGATACATATCAAAGCTAGCTTGTTTTTGTTGTTGTTGTTGTTTGAGTAGGGCTTGAGCTAAACAAAAATCTCTCTAGACATCGTCTTTGTCAACACAGATGTCCGGCACTAGTTGATCGCTTGACGATTTACTGAAATCACGATTATCATCGGTATTCATCCACGGATGTAACAATATATCCTCCGATAAAATTCGCTCTTCGGGCTCTTTGCGCAGCAACGAACGGATCATACATCGGGCTTTTGATGTCAAACAATCGGGGACTAGGAATTGACCGCGCGATATTTTCGCAAACAACGAAGCATGCTCCGAATCATTGAATGGATATCTGAAATTGGAAATGGATAAAAAGAAATTTTGTATTTATGGACAAAATTTTAATTTTTCTAAATGAGTAAGAACTTTCCGCTCGAATGATTTATCTATCTCAACCATTAAAAAAAAAAACTTTGAACTAAACGACGATATTGAGTGCAATGAATTTAATTTGTCAATTAGATGAAAATGAGCAGACATTTGCCGAAACGTATCATTAGCATCATTTGGCAAGTCCATCAAATAACACTATTGGCAAAAGTCGTAACGAATTTTTACCATATGTTTACACCACACTGTCTTGGAGAACTTGAACCAACGCAACAACAATTTACTAACAAAATGGAACATTTTGATCTCACTTGCATTTGGTTCGCAAAGCAACGCTTGCTTCGGTATGCTATAAAAAAGGCACACATTGTGCGTAGACGGAGAAAAACGAAGAAGAAAACGACGGCACATGCGAAGCAAATTTAAGAAGCCTTCAAGGATAAGGCAGGTGCGATCAGCAATAATATTTCTGTTCTCCCTAATTTGTATACTCTGTTCCACGCATCGCATTCGAAGACGTGTATATAGCAAGAAAAGAGAAGAAAAAACAACGAAGAGACTGGCATTTTATATTGAAAAAATGTGTTGGACGAAATTTTGAGTTCAGCTGACGCATCACCAGCTTGAAATCACAAACTTGACACATAGAATAGGCTGAAACGGTCTGTCCAATAAACACAATGGATTGGTTTGATCGAAATAAACGGCAGAAAGATATGTATTGATGACGCTTTTTTTATGCACCTTGCCTTGCCTTGTCTTGCCTTGCCTTGCCTTTTATATAAATTGAGAGAATAATTGGAAATGTTTTTTTTTTTTCGTCAAAATGTTTGAAATTGGATTTGCCATTGATCGGAAGTCATTCGGAAGGGAAAATTTATTAATTCAAAAAAAAAATAATAATTAAGCAATCATTTGCCGAAATGCCACCAGTTTTGGAAATGACATTCGAATAAGAAATAATGAATTGAGACAAAGGTATTTTTTGTTTACAAAAATATCAATAAAAGCGGAAGGTTGATGAAAAAGCAACAACAACAAAACGAATGATACTAACCGTCCTACGACCATCGTATACAAAATAACGCCAAGTGACCACATATCAGCCGCCTTGCCCGAATACATGGTATTTGCTTTGAGAATTTCCGGTGAAACATATGCGGGACAGCCTCGTTTATCTTGTAGCAAATCTTCATTTGGATTGTCCAATACAACTGCATCTTCAAGTGATTCCAATCGAAGGTGCGTTCTAAAATTGGAAAGAAAAATAAAACAAAGAAAAGAAAAAGTTCGTTAATAATTTGTGATCGATGCCGTAAATAATTGAATTAAATATGCATTGAAATAAAGTTATTTGCAAAGAGTAGAGAAGTGTTGTCACATGAGACAATCGGTATAGGAGGCAAGATAATTGGTTGTCGTGGTTATCGAATAAACCGTTCAATGTTTCAAAATTACATTTTTTTTTTGTCTTGCTGTCCAATACGGCCCACAGCGATATTTATCAATCAAAATTTCTTTCAAATGAACGCTTTGCACAATGTTCAACAGCATGTTACGAAAAGTTGAATGTCTTATGCATATAAGCTCCCATCAAAATGAAACAGTACGAAAAAAGTATCGAAACAACAACAGTGTGTTGCTTGCACCGATTCGTGCGTCATGATTTCAGGTGACTCGTTATTTTCTCTTCCTTTATATCTATATGTATATGATTCGCGTTGAACTACGCACATATTTTCAACGTTCATAACCTTAACAAGTTGCAGCACCACACACACACACACACACACACACAAGCCGAAGCGACAAAAGCAAAAACATCATATAGCATTAATTCAATGTTTCTTAACTGAACGAAACCGTGTTGCAACTCGCAATTATGTCACACAATTAAATCTTTTGTATACATCCATTACCATATGCGTCGAAATAATCGCTCTCATAATGAGGAAAGAAGAGAAGAGAGAAAAAACGCAGCACGAAGAAAAATATAAATGAAACCGTTTGATTTGGCCAAGTGTCGAGAGCGTGTTGCAGTACTGTGTGAAAAATATTGGCACATTTTCCTTTCAATTTTTCAAACAATTTGAGTGACATTCATGAAGATCGATTTGGTATTTAACGCCACCATATCGTATCAAGTTCATCGTGTGCTTCAGCAGTGGCAGCGATGGCAGCGTAGCGTTTATTCGATCCGCTGCGCGAGCAATTCGTGATCCACTTTTACATTGAAATGATGAATGCACTTTTAGATCACATCGAATGGAATGCCATTAGAATCCAAGAAGTACTACATTCAAACTGGCTGTAATAAAAGCCATGGACATCAAAATCACTCATGCATCACAATCGATGCAGAATAAATGCACTCACTTTGTTTGGCAGTTGCGAATAATTGGAAATGAAAACAATCGCTCAGCCGCGTCTAGCTCTGCTGTCTTAAGCATATGGCTTTTATTTATGTAGTTCGCGTTTGTGAGGCATTTTTGCGCGGAACCAAAACCCATTCATACCCCAGTACACTGTGCCGTGTTGATCTCATTTTTGGTATTTCGTTGGTCTTTAAAGAGCAGCTGTATTGTAAATATTCACGATCACAAGGACAACATGAATGACACTTTATATCGTCTAGGCTATATGGATGTATTGCACGTTACTTCATCTCTCGCTCTCTTTGAGATTTTATAGCGCAATTTGTCTGGATTCAACAAGAAGATCAACCAAACTATTTGTGTCTTTGTTCCATGGTGTAATCACGGTTCTCTCAGATGGTGCAATGCTTTTATTGTATTGACATTTCCATTCATTCGCATTTCAGTTGAATGAAAACCTCAGACAGAATGTGGTTTTTTTGTATGTACGAAATAAAAAGACTAAATGAAATTGAAGAAATGGAACTGACGTAGAGAAAATACAACACGAAGGAATTTTGCATCATCGATGCATGAAAAGATGCATCATCGGGTATGCTCACGGTATTTTTTGTACAAGAAAAATGTGCCTAGTTTTTTATTTGAAGATGCCATTATTCAGTTTGTCCATTTCACATAATTACACTTGCGAAAAAAAAAATGAATTCATAATGTGTTCACCAAAGAGATTATGCGAACGTTGATGATTTTCGTCACGAGATGATGATCGATTTGGTAAATTTGGGTGTTGATTTCACTAATCCCATAATAGATTTTAACGTTTGGCAATTGTTTCGATCTTCAAACAGCTGCGTGACAACAAAATCTCAGATCGAAATGTACGCAAAGAAAAAAACATCAAAGGAATGAAATATTTTGAGTAATGGAAAAAGAGTATTTGAAATGGAACATGAAACAAAACAGTATGCGAAAACTGAGTTATATAAATTTTTGGAGAAATACATCCATAGTGAAGATGTAAACGAAACAAATAAAAAAGAAATGAACGAGTTCATTGTCCGCGTTGTTCGAATCCATTGCGCTAAGCGAATTGAAACAATTTTCTCTTTCTTTTTTTGGAAACGTTGAAATTGACGAAATTCACGCATAGGTAAAGTAACATAGAGAAAGCCCAACCGCACTAAAAATAGCAACACAATCTACAGCGGTAATGCAAGCATAGAGACATTAATGTTCAAGCAAATTATTGATGAATGAAAAATCGAAACGCGTATAATGACCAGTTACTTGCAATCCACTCGCACACGTTAACACGTACATAGTCAACGCTATGGCAGTAGCTGGTGATGCTTCCGCTGCCGCTTTTTACGACTTACTCAGTTGAACGCTTCTTTTGAAATTCACACTTTCTTCGTCGTGTCGGGCATTAAAACATGCATGAACAGTGCACACACAGACATAAAAAGAACGGAGCACAGTGAGGTAGAAAGAAAGAGAGCGGCAAAGAAATCGCACAACCGATTTCAATATTTTGATGTTGAGAAATTGATCACGATTGAGCCATTGTGCTTTTTTAATGGAAAAATTATAATTTCTCTGTGTTTTAATGAACTTCATTTATTCAAATTTGGGCTAAATGGATGCGAAAGTATATAAAGTTTATTTAACTTTTTGATGCGGCTTTCAGATGAAAGTAAACTCAAAATTCAACTCAATTCAATTGTCCATCACATGGGGCAACAAATGCATCCCAATACAAAAGAGCGAATATGGAAAAAGAAACTAGTCAACAATTCAAGATGAATAATATTTGTTATTATCGTTCCGGGAAATAAACTTTAACATCTCTGCTTGTGTCATAATCGTTTAAATTGCAATGACCCCTGAGGTTATCTAGCGTTTTTATCACAAACTAGGCGCATTTCTCTCATCCGTTCGAAATGCTCGTAGTACAACTCACGACAAATGGAGTGCATTACACAACGACGCTCAACGTACACATGCAACGTATCAAAGGAACTTATGTAAATATTGTGCATCAAACTAAATCAGTACGGACTTTTCATCGTGGGATAGAAGAGAAAGTAAAAGAGTAAAATGATAAATCAATGTTCTTGGCAAGACTTGTCGAGATAAATGACGCATTTTAAAATGGTGTAAACTCAGTCCTTACTCTTAATCTCGGCCCAAAATCAGTCCAGCGGATTATTGAACGGCCGACTGATAAAATACTCTCGCTCCAACTCAGACATTGGCATCACGCATTATTGCTCAACTGCACGAAATGCCCACTAAGAGTGTGCTTGGTGCTAACACATTTATGGGTGTTTGTCTTTGGGCTGGCGCTTTTGTTTCGATGCTGAACGGCGTTGAGACAACAGAAGACAAAAAATAAATCGCTACCTATCTAAATTAACGCAATGCAAACTTTTCAGAGATCATTTGTGCGCGCGTGCGTTGTGCAATTGCGCGTGTATCTATGGATTAACATTATGTGATAATATTGAAATATCGAGAGCCGCATGTATGCCTGGGTGAATTCAATTGATCTAATAGGCAATATTGGAACCGTTAAACGAAACACATGCTAATGGTAATCGACTAATTTACCGAGCCCAAACGGCTTCGACGTAAGTGCGACAGATCGTGTGGCTCGAGTAAAATTTAAACGATGAAAAGCAAACAAAAGCGTTGCGTTCAAACTATTTTTTTTTGTTGTTTTAATAGAGTGATCATTTAAATCTATTTTGTTGTCATACAATTATGGCACCTTTTTGGCTTGCTCTCAAAACTTGCTAAAACCATGGCGAAGTGCACATTTTCGTAGTTGGTACACACACCGTCGAAAAAATTGGAGAATGGCGATCGAAATATGATTTTTTTTTTCTCTTTTGAGCAACACGTATTCATTAAATGTTGTCGGTGTGTAGTTTGCTGCTCTGCACGTGATTGTGGAATGTGTGTGTGTGTGTGTGTGAATGTGAAAATTGCGTAAAATTTTTTGGTGTGTCTCTTTTTTCCTGTCAGCATTTTCTTTCGACAAAATCAGCTCGCACCCAAAATCGTTGTACAGATTGTGTCGGCTTGATCACATTTTGTGTATGTATATATAGAGTTGTTTCGCAGCAGAGAGCCGAGCGTCGTCATGAGTTGCCACCAAATGTGCGAAATAATGAAACAGAAATGCCAAACCCGACTCCACTTTATAAGTCATAAGAATATAATGGTAAAATTATCGTGTGCCTTTTTCATCACAAAGATAATTTTTGCTTGCACAATTTTATAAAATATAAAATATATCTGTCGGTGGCGAAATGCCATTTGTGTTTCGAAAAGGAAAAAAAAAGACGATCGAATTAAATATGAACCCGAATTAATAGGCAGTTACAAATATCTCGGTCTTGACCATTGCACAAGTGTTATCAATGCGCGCATGTGAAGTGTGTGTGCAATTTTTTTTATTCGTCTTCAATTGAATACAAGTACCGATTAGAGGCACTTTTATTGACAAATTGGCAAACGAAATGTTCTGCCCGTATCTTCTTTCCTATCTGAAGAGCGGATTTCGTAGAGTCGCCAAGTCAATAGACTATTGCGCCTACGGTTTGCGGTATCATCGTGGCGCTATATGACGTACGTATGATTCACATGCAATATCTTCAATGGGAAATAAAACTGATTCACAGTTTGATTGAACCGAATTACGGGTATAGCATAAATGTCTGTTTTGAGTTTGATTTACACATGTCAATTAACCCAAATGCCGCAAATTGGCTGAAATATGAACTGTTTTTTGTGTGTTCAATGCTTGTCCGAATTGGTTGTGTGTGTTTTGATTTTTTTTCTTACCTCTCTTTCTTTTCTCGTCTATGTC